ACAATAAAATAAAGGCTATTGTTGGAAACATAGGAGAAGAAATAGGAAATTGGAAACTGGAAAACACACCACTGATTCTGAAATAAAGGCTGTTAAGGCTTCATGCCTGTAAAGAGTTTAGCTTCACATTTAGATGTGTTTGACAGAAGGTTGCTACACTCCTACTTTTGTTAGTGGCATTCTTAATCTTACAGATTATCCCATAATTCCAGCTTCCTTTTGCAATTCCTCTAGTACTAGGTGAGGGGAAATTTGAGAGGTTTTTGAAACAACAGCAACAGCCATACTAAAGGATAATCATCCCTGCCTAGGATTACAACAAGAAGAAGAAAAACCACCGCAAGAGTCAAATGAGTCAGTTGTAAATAGCACAATGCAACGAGAGGCAAAAGTCGATCTACTGAAGCCCGTTAACGGAATCCAGTAGCCAAGCATCTTTCAGCACCAGCTTTGGTGAACAGCACCACTGAGCTTCCACAGCCGCTAGATGGCAATAGCTTCAAGACCTACCTTTTCAGAAAATACACTGATCCCTTTCAACCATATCCAGACAAATTATAGAAAAGCTAACACATTTCCTGCATAATAGCTGGCTACTGTTGTGTCCCAGACTAATATTAAAAATAATTACATGCTTCATATAGAAATAAATGATAGTGTAGTGTGGTGAGGTATAACAGCTTTATTAGCCAGATTTGGGAATCGATGTATTACTCACATTCAAGTTAGGCAACCTGAACAAAATATGTTCTAGGCTCATCCAAGGTCTCTTCTGCAATTCATTCATGGGTTGAACACCCCCTTTTAATTTGCACTCTCAGAAGTGATGCCTCACTAAACCAAATTTCCTGAGCTCTTGACAGCTAACACAGTATTCTGGCTGTTGGAGAAATACTTTAAAAGTTTAAATGGTTTACTCTGTAGAGCAGAAATATGTTTTATTTGAATATAGCCTTCCTCATTTAATGTCGCCCAATATCATTCCTTGCTTAATGTTCTTCATTTTTAATTCCAAAATAAATTAAAAGTTTGGCAATGGAAAGTCAGATGCAGTTATGCTTCATAAAAGCTAAGGAAAATAGCATTAGGCCTCTTGCAAATTTGAAACTCCCAAAAGGAATGTTTCCCCATTCAGATAATATATTTCCAGTGCATCCTTGGAAAACGGTTACCAATCTATGCAATACTGATGTGTATACATGAATTTAGACCTGAATATAAATGTAAATGAGTAAAAATGAAGACATATCAATTAAAAAAAAAATAGTGGTGATAGAACTATAGGATAGTGTTTGCTTGTACTCTTCCTATTCATAATCTCCAGTATATATCAGGAATATAAAAATAGTGGGGAACCTTCTTTATGCTTGTAGGCTCCCCACTTAATTAGCAGACCTAAATTTTTTAGCACTATACTTGCACAGAACTGAAAAGGATATCAAATGCAGCCATTATTCCTCAACATGGAGAGAGTAATGAGAGTACAATTTACTTCTTTTAAAAAATAGTTGCTCAGCCAAATAAATAGACAATTTTAATAGAAATAATAAGGAAACACCAAAAAAATATGTTACCTAGTAGGAATCCTGAAGTCTACTTTGGTACCTAATTTGTAAGCAACTTGTAAAGATGTGGAACCCACTACGCGTTGGATAATTCCTCTGGAAGCAGCTTTGTCAAGCTGGAACTGTGAAATTAAGTCATAGCCTAAAGTAAGGAATACAAATATTTGAGAAAAAAATTAAACCATGAAATTATGTAGTTAGACCTGGGTTTTTTCCCCTATTATTTCTTTTGACATGTTTTTGTTTCTGTTTAATTCAACATTGCTGCTGTTCAAAATTCAATTCAAAATAGTTACTTTTTTAATAGTTTGGGATTTTTAAAAATAATGTTGTGTATCACCTTGAAAATCATAAATTATGGTATAATTAAATTATATATATAACAGCTTCTTTTAGCCACATGTACTTACAAGAAGTAAAAATAAACAGTCCTCAAAAAGATGTTCCATAATAGCTCATATGAAGGAAGTTATATGTAGTAACTTGCATTTACTTGCCTGGTAGGTCATCCTGGCCAATCCTGGTTGATGGACAGAGGTCAGTCTTCATGTTGGAACTGAATGTTATTGGAAACCCTGCAATAAGATTAGACATACTGTAGTTATCTCTGTCCATTTTGCTGATGGATGGTCTATGACCCAGAGCAATCTCCTTACAGGGAGCTCCAGAAAACTAATGCAACTTAATTATTTAGGATCATGTATAAAAACTTCAAGTACAAAAAAGGTTATACTTTATACAGCTAAAACCAAGACAAGCTATATTCATAAAAGTCAAATGATGCTAGAGATGAGATAGATATATACTGTAGAAAGCAGTGGAGAATCTCAGCTCTCTTCCTGCTGTTTCTGAAGATCATCTGTCTTCCCTGAGGTAGGTTTGTAATAGAAAGAGTTCTGTAGTGCAGAGTTATTTGTGGTTTGGATAACTTTAAAATGTTTTTACCTAGACAGTTAGTGAAGTTCATATCTATGCTAAATTTAAAATAAACATGCACCAACTCTGCTTTTGTAAAACCAGCCAAGCTTTTAACTTTCTTCCCTTTTCCTTTGATATTTCAGATGTTCTTACTCTTTCTTTCCCCGTGTTTGATTATACAACATGCTAAGTAACATGAAGGGCAAGTGTGGGAATCATAACTGAAGGTCTCCTGCAAGAACAAACAGCCATTTCACTCTCTCTAAAGCACCACTGTGTGTGTGTGGAAAGAAAAAAAAAATCACAGCCTATTTAGTATACCACCCTAACCCTCCCTAAAGAACCAAAAAGGAAAACTAAACATTGGTTCCAGTTAGCTGTAGAGTTCAACCTATGCACTGTTTCAAGCCAAGTTGGGAAATGCCTCTGGAGGCTGGAAGAAAGAGTTACACAGTTTGAAAGGAGAATTTTTTCCTGCCCACAAAAAGCGTCTTGTCTATTCCAAGAAATTTTCTTAAAGAGGGTTGATCACATTATATTTCTAAAGCGACCTTCTCAGATTTAGCATAATCAGTTAGATAGAAATTTGAGTATTTGTAGTACCAACACATCTGGCAGTAATAAACTAAGGAAGGCTCTCCTAGAGAAGCAATGATCACTCTTAATGGTTTGACCACTTTTGCTTGGATAGTACTTGGAGATGTGTGTGTGCACGCACGCAACAACTTCTATTAGGATATTAATGTTCATATTTTTCAGACCTTACGTTAATCTAGTGATTCTGACTCAATTCTATTCATATCCTCTCCAAATTGTTCCAATATATTATTTTGTCATATCTATTCTGAAATCTTTCATTTCAAAAATCTAATATGTTTCTTTTTTTTTTTTTTAATGTAGTAGTAAAACAGAAAAATGTGTCACAACTGAGAGATTGGTGGAAAAGTCAGTCATCCAAAAAAACTCTATGTTCCCCAAATTCTACTGTTTGTTTTTCTTTCTCATTCATTGTGCAATAAGAATAACCTAGACCTGTGGCTAATCAAACTAGTCTCTTACATATACCTGAATACTACAGAACCATTTTGATTAGCGAACATTTAGTTAGTGTAATGAAGTAGACTCTTACTCGTTTGCCCTTGAACAGTAGCTGATGTCAGAATCTCCAGAAAGCAACTAACATAAAAGAGAAATTGATACTGCCTGCAAGGAAAAAAAGACCTGTTAAACATGAAAGTAGGCTGCCTAATAGTATTTTATATTTTTATTTCAGAGTCATGCACATACTGTATGTAATTTAAATGATTCCATAACATAAACCTTCTTAAAACATTTCAGGTCTATATCATTTTATTTCCCCATACAACAGAATGTTTGAGTTGGCGTCATTCTCTCAAACATCCTTTCTTACACATATGTAACTGCCATAAGGAAAGAAAAGCAACAACGGAGAGTTCAGCTTGCATAGACTGCTTTGAATGCATTCCACTGAACTTTCTCCATTTTTAGAGAGTGCTATCTTTTAGAAATACATTGGATTGCTTACCAGCTGTTCTTCATGTTTCCACCTTATCTTGAGTTGTAGACTATACAATTATTTTGGTTTTTGTTCCCATTAAAGAAAGGTTCAAAGTGCCCCAGAGTCTCTCTGCCCTCCTGCAGGACATCTGTAGAGGAATGGGTGTCACACCTCTGAGATGGTTTTAATAATCCTGATGAAAAGTGGAGGTGGGCACTAGGCAAGCTTACGTGTTCTAGAGCGGAAGGGAGGGAGAGAGGATTTTGGCTGGGATAGACAAAGAGGAAAGGAGCAGCAGGGATGGGTGGTGGATTTGAGTAGAAACTTTGGGTTAGCAATACTACCTAGCAAGTGGTGGGAAGAGAACAAGAGGAGGGACTAAAAGGAGAACATGAAGGGTTGGTGCCTGGAACTGACCCAATAAAGTGTATGTATATTTTGGCACATCTACTATTCAGGGTAAATTTAAACACTTGAGAAAAAAGGAACTTTTCATTTCTCACTGACTCTCTAATGAGGCAGCCACTCCTGCAGTGGAGGAATTTTGCTGAACAGAATCAGGCAATTTATGCAGGATTCATAGCTGAAATATGAATCTCACCAAATAATAATACAGATAATCTAGATCAGTTTTCTGCCACAGCTGGTTAATAACTCTCTTTGGGTTAACTATATTTTAAGTATACAAAACTGTGGCCTGCTGACATTTCTGTGTAGCTGGAAAAAGCAAGAATTCTACAGCTGAGGAATTAAATACCGCTTGGATGGATAGAAATGATCTAAAGAAAGCAGTTAGGTTAATATTACTTTGTACAATATTCATGAGTACTAGATAAAATAATTTGGAAGAGAAGCTGGTACACTGAGCAGTGGCTATCCAAGTATACTGAAGGACACAGTAAAGAGAAGTGCCCAGAGCTTTGTTTATAATGGAAAGTTGTTCCATTCCCAGGTTCTCTTTCAGGGAAGCTGAAATGTAGGTGGAATTAGCACTAGTACAATGGAATATTTTTCCCTATGGCATCTTCAACTTGATCTATGTAACTTCAGGTTACATAGATAAATAACTGTTTTAGGTCTCAGTAGGTGGCAGTACCTGGTTGTTCTTATCTAAGTTCAAAAGCTAAACAGAATGGATCTGTTTAGAACAGAGGTCCCCAAACTCTTCAGCTCATTGAGCCCTTCATGAAGTTTCAGATTGTTCATCGACCCCCAAACATTTATTA